ATTACTTTAAGCACATATGTGTTGCGATATTATAAAGTGTTCTGTCATGTAAATAAGGTTCACTTGAAAATATATATACTTCTATAACTCACTGTTAATAAATTCTTATTTGTATTCTATTGCTATTAACGAATCATCGTTTAATCTAACAAATGTATGAGGCGACTTAATAAGAAGTCATAAAGAGAACTGTGACTAGCACATGGCTAAGATATATTTCTTTACAAAATAAGGCAAATTAACGTTCAACTTTTCTTCACATTTTACAGTTTGACATTCACAACCTTCTGCTAAAACTAATGAATATTCTTTCAAATAAGTGCTGACTTCTATTAACTCGTAAACTATCATCAAACATTAAAGTTATCATACTTATTGACGGTTCAGTTCAAAACCTTAAAGCTTTTGCATAGAACAATACAGGTAAACTACAATCAATGTGTTTCCACACGTCCGATGGTCTCTCAACGACTGAAAAATAGATTACCTAGACTAACCACCTCTTTCTGTATCTATCAGTTCAACTGCTCTATTGGTTAAATTAAAACGGGTAACAGCTCCATTTTAGCTCATTTAGTTCAAACGGGCGATACAACTAAAATAGAACAAACATTTACAGTAATATATCGTGTTAATAGCAATCTACCTAAATCCATCAAACTAAGAATCATTCAGAGATCTGAGTTCAAAATAAATATGTTCAAACACTCCTTTTACCTTGACTAACTTCTTATTCAATTAGTTACTGATCAGTTGATGGTTTAGTGAAATAGTTCGATTATTGTTCATGCAACTTTCCTCTTTGTATTTTCATAGTTTAAACTTATCTTAATATCATAAGGGTTTTTTGTGGATATTATAGTAATTTTAATGGTTGAGATTATGAATCAATTGAAACTAGACTACCATGAAAAACCTGGAGGCACTAGACGACCGTTTCGTCATATTGTGGGACACATTCACGATCCCACCTCGCGAGATTTAAACTCAGGACCTATCAGTCTCGTGCGTGAGCGCTTAACCACCAGACTACTGAGCCTACCGGTATCCAAAAGTGGTAATGTCTAAATTCAACGAATTCACGAAATTGAGCGACACGTCCACCATTATCTTCAGTGAGCTACTATCTCACAACAGATCCGGTTGAACTCTACTGATCACTGCTTCTCACTACAACTCTAGGAAATACCTCTTGAAACCAGTCATCATTATCATAACACCTGCTAACATTTTGGAAAAATTTATTCAGAACCCAATCCTATTTACTAATTTGTACCTAATTGATATTATTCTGCATATTACGCGATTTCTAATTTGTAATTACATTATTATCCCTTTTACATCAATATTAACCATATTCATTCTGATCATTATCCTTACAGTTCCATTTAACGTATAAACTTATTGAAGCCATCACATCATTTTATTTGTCTTAAGGTAAACCCCTGCTCGAGCCCCTCTGGGGCTACTGCCGGTCCCAATTCTGGATAAAGGAGGAGGGTTGGGCATGGGGTTAGCTACCTCATCCCGTAGAAATCTAACTCGCTAAAAACTCTAGCCAAAAAAAGTAATTCAAACCATTTAAACTCTGCCCCGGAAGTTAGAAAGTCTTCCATTTAGAAGAGCTATGACGCCTCATGGTCAAAGCCGAGGCTGATACCCCTTCTGACAACCAGAGCAACCATTAATTTAGGTACATGGAATGCTCGTACAACATAAACGATTCGATTTTATTCATATTACAAACAATCCCAAATTCACATCTTGTAATTTTAAACGATGCATTTTAATTCAAAACCTATCCACTTATTGAATTATTAAATGACAGAGTATCTGACGAGAATTTATTAAAAAGAATATTTTTCATTCATATTTATCTGTGTATAATTATGATGAGAATTTTTCAGCTTCAGGCTTGAGTTGGTGGATTGCCAATGACTCAACAATGATTGATTCGACACCCCTTCAATCCAATTCCTTTCACTCTGTAGATTACTTTAAAAGAAGAATTCTTTGTAGCAATGTATCCACAGAATTTGAATAATTTTTCAGCTATTAACTCTATTGTTCCATTTAATAGTATCAATCCACTTGACAATAATGAATGTAAAATAGTCAGGCAAACAGAAAGATTTTTCAATTTTCACTACTTTAAAAGTACTAATAAACATGAAAATCATTTTTAATGAATTCATGAATGCACTGTTTATACATTTATATAAGAAGTAGACAATACACAAGCTAACAAAGATTATCCTATTGATGATTAATTTGTATGTGTAATGAATGCATAAAGTTATAAATGTCACAATTAACCTCAAGTTTTATGATATCCAATTTTTTCAATTATCTCGCTTTAGGTACTCTTTGCTATATCCTAGTAAAGATTACATTATGAGTAACGTCTGAGACTTATTAATGGACTATTATTATTTATATATTCTCATGGTATTAATATTCGGTAACTAGATTATGTATTTCTATATTCCTCTTATTGTAAGCTTCATTTTGATCCATAATTTATTATTATACAATTTACTGTTCGTAAGCTATGTTCAGTTTATTGACTACTGCCTCCCACGTTCACAGTCACTTTTTGGCTTTATTGTGTACAAATGTTATTTCCTATTTTATAGTGCGTTGCGATCTGTTCGACTGATATATAAACCCAGTATGTCGGGAATAAATGATTCGATTCGATTTGCATAGTGGAAGCTGGTATTGGTGTTCTGGACTCAAGTGGACGGGCTAGGCAAACATAGGACCAATAAGGGCACTAGGCTGCTCATACCGCTCGAACGTCATTGGTTTGGCGGCACAGTGCTAAGATTGTATAAGTCGTATTTTGATTGGTGGATAAATCACGTGATAAAAAGCCGGACATAAAGTCATAACACTTTACTAAAACTTGGTTAGCCTTTGTAAATAAACTCATTATAAACATTTTATCACAAGTTATATAGAATAGAATATACTGAATAAAAATTGAATATATTTTTTGTTGACATTCGTTCTGAATTCTCAACCATCATTCATTTTTAATTAAAAACTATGTTGGAAATGAAAAATTTTAAAAAAAAAGTTAATATTTTACCGAATACTCCTTGAAATGATCAATTATCGATTTGAATTGATTAAGAAATTGTCAACATGATAAAATACATTTCAAATGTACTAACTTAAATTCATTCTCTTTTTGATTAAGGTTACTGAGTATCTATCGATGTCTGGCTGTTGATTTTTTTATACTTCATTAAACTATCTCTTTGTAACTAGGATACATTTTAACAGGATAAATTAATAATATACAATGTCAAATAATGCATTATAATGTAATTAACCAGAAAATATTCATGACTAGCTATACACTTTGAATGTCATAGACTTATTTAGAAATTGACAATCTGATATATTAATGAAATCAAATCAGATTCAACATTTTTGTTTCGTTTCATTTTGATGAGATCAGCCCACCAACTAATTTAATTTATTTGTTCTACAATCATAAAAGAACTGTTTGAATAGTTTTGTTTCATTCTAGATAATGTAAACACTGAAGAAAAAAATAGTATGAAAATATTTGAAAAACGATTAGAATTTCATTATTTTGCCTTGTTTTCATTCTATTTAATGGTTAAAATAAGAAATGTCGTTCTAACTATGTTTAAACAATTCTCTCTCAAAAATCAATGTTTACATATATCATTGTAGGAAACAAAATATATAATAAATAAGAACTTTCTTCTAAATTTAATCGAATAGTTTTACAGTATTTTTGGTGCCAAGTTGATATGACACATAAAAGAGAAAGAATATATTTGTAAACTCTTAGCGAATGAATTTAAAGTAAATATACAGTAGGTGTATTTTTCACTTTCTGGTATATCTCAACAGAATTTATCTTATGGCGACCATGAATAAGCCAAAACTAGACAATTATTAAAAACCTAGAAGGGTTGGTTATCCGTTTCATCCTAAAACAGGACTCTACATCAGTAAGGATTCGCGATTGGATTCCAACTCAGTAGCCTAGGGGTTAAAGGTTCTCACATGAGACCAAAAGTTCCACGACTAATTCCTATTGACAAGATCCCATATTAGAACACGATAACTGTCAAGTGTTCACAGATTTTGAATATTGCCTAACCTAGATCAGTTCATGACCCCAATAATATTCAACAATCCCGAAAGTCTCTATACTGTGAATTTATTTTAAAGACCAGAAGTCATGTCTTAATGAATTTAAAAATGAAGAGTATTTAGGTGTACAATTGTTTTCATTACTTTCATCATCAGGCTCTACTATAGAGTTAGCTCAAATATTCTTTATTTTTAATATTCTATAGGGATTGTTTAATGATTTTACTTGGATAACCTATACTTACTTACTTACTTACTTACTTACGCCTGTTACTCCTCGTGAAGGAGCATAGGCCGCTCACCAGCATTCTCCTTCCAACCCTATTCCAAGCAATCCTTTCCAGATCCTTCCAGTCACTATTCATCTTTTTCATATCTGCTTCTATTTCCCAACGTAATGTGTTCTTTGGCCTTCCTCTTTTCCGCTTCCCTTCACGAGTCCAAGTTAGGGCTTGCTTCGTGATGCAGTTTGATGATTTGCGTAATGTATGTCTTATCCATTCCTATCGTCTTTTCCTAATATCCTCTTCAGCTGGAAGTTGGTTTGTTCTCTCCCAAAGAAGGCTGGATAACCTATACAAATCTATAAATAACATTTATATCCAATCTTCAAAGAAGAAAACTATCCAATTTTAATTGAAATAAAAATTGAAGAAAAAAAAAAGAACAATCATTTCTCATAAAAAGTTATTTAAAAAACGAACAAACCGTTTTTTTTTCTTTTTTAATTTTAAAATTCTTCCAATTTATAAACTTTAATTTGATTGGTTGATATTTTTACAGCTGATTACGATTTGATTGGACAATGATTATAACATACATACAAACAAACAAAAAGTTAAACAAATTGAGAATTCATTGTTACCAATACAGTAGTAGTTATTATTTATCGCGTGTATTGTTAAAAGAAAAAAAATAGAAAAAATTTTTTTCTCTTAACATGGATAAAATGATGAACTTATCAAATGATTGATCAACCATCTACAACAACAACAATTAAACACATACATTAAATACAATTTTCATTTGGTTACTCATATCAATGAGGAATATGTAAAAATTGAATGAATGAATGAATTCATCAATCATTTTGTTTAAATTACGTAATCAAGAAAACAATTAACCAATCAGATGATGAGAGGATTTGATTACCAATCAGTGAATGATTGATTTATTATTATTACATATATGCGATAAAACAGAAAGAAGTTTCGTCAATGACTAAGTTGTCTTCTATCCTGTATTCATAATTTTAAATTATGCAACATTTTAATTCCATAATTTAATAACGTTGAACAAATTGAATATTAAAAAGAATTGAACTATTGAACTATTCACTTATAATTTATAATGGATCCTATTAGAATTATTCTAAGTCGATTAAACAATAGAAACTTTATATGTTATGGAATTTGTTCTATCAATTTAACATAAATTAAATAACCTTTTGAATAAATACTTATTATAGTGATTAATGGATATCTTGGATGTAAATAAATAAATAAACAAATACAAGGATTACAATTTCCTCTAGTCAAGTGAGTACATTTTCATTTGTTGTTTTTTTTCTGTTGTTCAATATTTCATAGGTTTATGAAATGAACTTGTTTTCTTAAATAGTAATTATTGAATAAAATTTCTTTATTTTGTAAAATGAACACAATATTTGCATCTTGAAGAAAAAGTTTATTAATTTCCTGTTGCTCTTGATTAGTCAGTTCCTTTTAAGTGCTGTTAGAGGTCTGAAGGCGGTTATCACTTATTGGTTGCTCATATCATAAAAAGGTTTTTCTGGATATACCTGAAAAGGAACTTGGGTTAGGGGTGGTCTTGGTAACCTGAGAGCGTGACCGCAGTGCCCATGGAACGACTGCACGAAGCCGGTCAGGCACGACCATTTTGCAGGTAATTTTTGTGTTAGCTCTTGTACATGTTGAGATCTTACCGCAGAAGACAGATATCCGTAGGATAAGGCGAGGTGTGCATTTTTAGGGTTGAACATTTCTAACCCCACCTCTCCTTGTGATGAGGCAGCACCGCTGTCATGCTGGTATCTGAAGGAAATACCTTACTACCGTCACACCTCCATACAGTCTATAGTACGACTTCGCCCTCGGACCTTGGGTTTGTTGCTTTTAGTCATACCGCTCTTCGACCGACCTATCTGGCATGCTAGGACCTTGGGGAATGAATTTTCCGGCCAGTATAACTCGATTAATTCATCACGATAGGCAAGCCCGACCACCACGTCAAGGTATAAACAACCGTTGAATGCTCTTAATTAAGAGTAAGTGCAAGAAACACATTTCTAGTTTGCGAGATTCTGGTTAAGTAGTGAGCAAAAATAAATCTGCTAGTATAATCCATGTATTTTAGGATTTGTTAAACAATATTTCGTAACATTTCTTAAATTTTACCTGAAAAATACGAATAAACAATCGTGCATTTCAGTAAAAATTGAATGACAATAATATTATCTGCTTAACTAAGTTTTTAAAAAACTTTATTTACATTTACGCCCATTACTCATCAGTTGACATTCAGTTATTAAGTTCATTTTTAAAGTGTTAGAATTATGTCATAAAAATTACTGTCTATTGGGTTTGGATAAAGCTTTGTTCTCTGAGCTGGATGGTTTGGTCTTGCAGCTTTCATTGTCCTTCTGAACGATATCATCACTTCACTTCTACCTGAAGTTTGTGGTGATGATGTCATTCAGAAGAATGATGAAAGCTCCATGACCAAATCATCCAGCTCAGAGAACAAAACTCCATCAAAATCATCCACCTAAGCTACAAATCTTCTCCATGATGTCTATTGGGGTTGTATATCAACATTAAAATGTGGGGAAAATATTTTTCAAAAGTAAAAGTATTGAAGCCTTAAAAATATTCAAAAACTTAAAACTTTAGTCAAAAAAATGAATTAGGAAATAAATACTGACTCATGAATAATTTACACACTCATATATCTTTATTATATTTTTAAATTCTACTAATTAATAATTCAACTTTGAGTAGTATAAATTAATAAATAGATTATGACTGATTACCATGCAATATAGTAATAATCATAATATTAATGGTATTTGTCGTATTAATCAGTTGCATTAATCAGTAATCAATAAGCATATGAATTTTTATCATATATAATACTGTCATAACATTCTATAATATTTACTAACTTACTTACGCCTGTTACTCTCAATAGGGCATAGAGCGCCAACCAGTATTCTCCAACCCACTCCGTCCTGGGACTTCCTTTCAAGTTCTATCCAGTTGTTCATTCTTCTCATATCTGTCTCTACTTCTCGGTGTAATGTGTTCTTTGTTCTTCCTCTTTTCCTCCGTTGACCTGGAGGATTTCAAGTGACGGCTTGTCTTGTGACGCAGTTGGGTGCTTTCCTCAATGCATGGCCTATCCACTTCCAGCGCCTCTTCCTCCATTGGGATCTTGTTTGTTCTCTCCCACAAAAGGTTGTTGCTGATAGTGTCTGACCAACGGATCTGAAGTATTTTGTGTGGACAGCTGTTAATAAACGCTTGTATCTTCTGGATGATGGCTTTCGTTGTTCTCCAAGTTTCCATCTCATAAAGTAGAACTATCTTGACATTTGTATTGAAAATTCTGACTTTGGTGTTGACTGGCAGTTGTTTTGACTTTCAGAGGCTCTTCAGTTGTACATATTCTGCTCTTGCTTTGCCGATTGCGCCTTCACATCTGCATCAGATCCACCATGTTCATCAATGATGCTATCCAGATAAGTAAACGTTTTTACATCTTTCAAAGCTTCTTCGTTAAGTGTGATTCGATTGTTGCATGTTGTGTTGTATCGGAGAATCTTGTTTTTCCCTTTGTGTATGTTGAGACATACAACATTCTATAATGGTATTATTTATTATTTATTTCTTTCACTGGATTATACTCCTTGGATAACATCTTCAAACCGTAATCTTTCCAATTATCGCTTCCACTTTTACTACCTCTACCACTATGGGATTTGAATCGACAACTGTATGTCTATGCTAATGTGGTATGGCAACTTGAACTGATGTACGTACGTATGAAGTTCTACGTTGTTACTAACGTTCCGGTTGTGTTTCCTTCTTTTTTTATTGGTAATTACGAATAAAAATAGTCGTTTTTATTGTTATTACTTCTCAAAAAGAATAATAAAATTTATTCAGATGACACGTGTTTCATTCAATTTTTATTAAGCCAAGGGTATTATGGCATTATTATTATTATTATTATCATTATTATTATTCGAAAAATCACATTTAACATATAAGTATAGGTTCTTTCTTCTTGTACTATGTCCCTATATGCAATCTTTCTTTTATGTATTACCACCACTGAATTAACTACTTCCATGAATCCGGTGTTGATCTTGTTGTGCTAACGAGGTATGGCAACTTGGGTCGATGCACACATGTGCCTGGTCTTACATTATAGCTGAATGACATGACTGTAGGTGTACATTTATGCCATATACAAACTAGACAAAAGTTATAATAATAATTAGCTTTTATTCTATTGAATATATTTAAAAACGAAATTTCCCTAATTTAAAAGTCAAATTCTTAAACTCTTTAAACAATTAAATGGAGATTTTGTTGTAAGTACATTGACCTTGGAAGTGATGTTTTTAACCTTGAATATTGTTAATGAGCTTCAATTTAATAATTTAATTGTAAAAAGTGAACAATATACATTGTAATAACCTTCCATTGAATATCAGAATATCTTATTTCATTCAAATTTATTAGTGGGAAAAAGTTGTATGCGATAATTCAATTAGGTTCCGTGGGAAATTTTCAGAGTTCTAGTGAGAACCTGTGACCAGTTCAATCTACTCCATGTTGGGTGGAAGATAGTCGTGTAGTATCGTGGATTGAATAAATTTGGAAATTAATATTGTTGGATGGGGCTCAGTGGTCTATAGGTTAAGTGTTAACGCGCAAAACCAAAGGTTTCAGGTTTGACTCAGCATTTGAGGTCGTGGATGTGCATTACTGAGGAACTCTGTATTAGAACAAAACGACCGTCCAACGCTTCGGGACTCTCAATATTGATCAATTCTTTGTTTCAGTTAACCTCCATTATTCATTGTTTTACCTCTTTTTAGCTGTTCAGTCATTTAGTTTACTTTCTTGTTATATTGTTAGAAAATGTGGTAATTTTCATTTATGTCCAAAAAGGTTAATGATAATAGTTAGATGAGTGGGTACATATGAATACATACTGGGCAAGAGTTTTTGTTATTAAGATCAATTTATCTAAGATTAATGATTCAATCAATGTGATTACTCTCACTTCAAAACAAACTACTTCACTACATTTAACTCAGTTTGTTTCGTAATCTTTCCTTCTTTTTTTATGTATTTTTCTTCAAATAGTTCGTATGGATAGAATTAGTTGAGTCGTAGAAACAATGAAATAATTGAGCACTTAATTTAATTGAAAAAAAGAGTCTGAAATTTTGTTAATGACTTTGTAACGTTGGTTAGATCTGATAAATCATTATTTAAACAGAAAATGTAACTATTGTCTAATAAAATTCACTTATCTCTGTATGAAACTTAACCAATCATCGATTGAATAATCTTAATGTAAACGTAACTATTATTAGACTGAAAGAAAAACAACTATTGTTTCTGAGTAATAAGTAGTAACTACCTAGTTACAATCTATATGAGTATTGTAATCAATGATAAAGGAATTTAGTGGGTACATTCATTTCTTTTTTTTGTCTTCCTTTAGAACATGAATCTTGAAATCTTCTGATAACTTTTCTTCTCTTTTCTATTACTTTTAATACAATTACTATTTCTGCTATTCTGGAATTAAAGAGGAAGAATATATTTGTAAAATCTTAGTGAATGATTATCAAGTAAACTAATGTTTCACTTAACAATCTGGTTTAAGCTTTCTCAAGAAAATATCTACCAGTTGTATATTTTCTTCGATAATTTGATGCGACTGAAAAATAATAAATAAGAACTTTCGTCTAAATTTGATCGAATAGTTTCATAGTATTTGGTCGCCGAGTTGATGTGAGATATTAAAGAGGAAGAATATATTTATAAAATCTCAGCGAATGAATTTGAAGTTAATCCAACATATCGCCAAGCAATCTCGTCCAAAGTTTTTCAAGGATATTTCCTGTGAAACTATTCGATTCAATTTAGACGAAAGTTCTTAGATACCATGTAAGGTTTACAAATGTAAACCTACTGTTAAGACCCAATATATATACAAAACAAGATTATAAACCCTTTTTTTGTCCACAGAGTCACTATATTAATTGAGTTGAATGTTCTTATTAAATGTTTATTATCTTTGTGGGCTATGAAACCAACAATAATAGACTGTAATAATAATGATAATCATAATAATAATGATTATTACTACTATTATTATAACGATAATAATGACAAAATAACTTTATGATTTTACATAAATTACCTGAAGTATTTTATACCTCACTAATGGTGACTAAAAAAACAATAAAAAAAGGTAATAACTAATGTCTCGC